TTTGTCCAAACTTCAAGAGGCTCTTGATGCTCACGCTGAAGCAAACGGATACAAGATTGTCACTCGATCATCTGATTTAAAAAAAAACAAGATTCGCTACATCTGCCATCGATCTGGAGTCAAACCGTCTGAAAGCTCAACATCTCAGAAAACCGATTGTCCATTCGCCATCACTGCCTCCCAGGTCAAAGCACCCAATGTTCCAGATCACCTCCAGAAGATCGCTCTAGGCCCAAATACCACCAGTTCCCTTCCTCCAGTGGGTAGCTGGACAATCTACGTCAAACACCCTGGTCATAACCATGACCCAATAAACTCTAGAGTAAGTTCAATGGTTCGTTACTCGCACAACTTTCAAAAGTGAATCTCATAACATTTACTACCCATCTCTAGCCACCAAAGACAAAGGCTGTGGTTGCAGAGAGCTTAACAGAGATCAAGCAGCGATCTAATCTGGTCAGTTATCTCTGTGTATTCCTTTATGACTCATTTGACTCAAACTTCTACCTCTTTACCACCTCTAGATTTCCAACAAGCTGTCTCTGCTTTCAGACGTTGATCGCTCACAAGCCCTAGCCGAGATTGAACAAGTTCTTGAAAAGTATTACCAGGCACCCACTCACGATCAGGCACCCAGTATTCCCTCAGAACATCAAAAACCGACACCCATTGTATGTTCAATCCCACCAACCAGCTCAACCACTTTAACAACCACTGCAACAATCGATCAAGTAAGTCATGGAGAAAACATTATAACATCACCCAGAGCTATGGACTGACTCAATCTCCCCTCATTTTCAAAGCATCGTGATCCTCTTTCCCCCAAGAAGAAGCGCAAACAGACCAAACTCAACACCATTTCAGTTCACAACCAAGGATCAAATGGCAACTTAGCTCCTTCATTTCTTCAGCCTCCATCACCTCCACAAACGAATCCGGTCATGTCTACGTTGAGAAACGAAATAAATCAAAACCTGAACTCAACCACAATCACATCAGAAGGGGTCAGTTAAGCAATCAGCTTCTGTAACATCCCTTACACCTACTCACTAGATATGTATGTACTCACACAATTCAGACTACGGCTCCTCCCCCAAAGAAGAAGCACAAGAAGATCAAAAACCCAGATCAAACGGTATCGTTCAAGTTAGATTTAGAATCACATCACAGCTCTGATAGGTCAATGCGAAATTCATCACCTCCAAAACCCAGCCAAACTTGCCTCCGGGAACCATCAACACGCTCAGCTGAAAAAATTCAAACAGCCCTACATCTGACCTCCCCAGCACATGAAGTCGATATACCTACTCAGCTTCCTTCTCAACCAATCCCAATTCACTCAAGCATTTCCGATCATCTCAGTGGCTTGGTTGACTATGATTCAGAACCTCTTGTAAGTAACCTTCAAGTTGTCCTTCTCCACAATACACTACAACTGAAATATGTATTATAGGCTTCTACCCACTTATCGCAGGCTTCAACTCCTCTGAGTCACCCTACTGATCCAGCACTGGAGCCCATGGCAAGTCAGCTTTCACCAAACGATCTTCCACCTGCGGATCCAATGTCTTTGGTTAGTACTCAAATGAAACCAGTGCTCAACGCTTGAAAGCGCCCATCAACTTACAGCCTGATTTCCATAGTTTTCTCCACCCGGCGGTCATCAGGACGATGGCGACGAAAGTTTCAAAATTGAAAGTTTGATTCCACCCACTACAGACCCGAACCCCTGTACCACACCCACACCCGATTTACCCCCCGTTCCAACTTCCATATCACCTGTGAGTCGCATGCTTCCTTTTGCATGTGCTATCACTCAAACCTGATGCATGGTGTAGGTAAAGGTAAACCAAAAACGGTCGGTCAGGTCAAGCTTCAATCAGGAAGGTGACACTGGAGATCAAAGGACCACCCTTCGAAAGTCTACAAGGAACCAGCCAGACTCATCTCATCATACACTTCGGAAGTCCACCAGGAACAAGAAGAACTTGTCATTAGTTGGTAGTGGGAAGCCTAAACACCAGCGCACCACAAAAAAAGTGTGTATGTTGCCCATCTACATCTTCCTCAAGAATTTGAAAGAAAGACTGACCATGTTATGTGATTGCATAGGACAATCGCGTGCCCATTTGGCTCCACGACTACATCTCTGAGGTTGGTGACCCTGTTGGCGATGGACACTGCGGCTATCGAGCAATTGCAATGTCCTTAGGTCGAAGTGAAGATAACTGGCGCTCAGTATGTGAAGAACTGGTATCCGAACTGCAGTCAAAACGTGAATTCTACGAATGTCACCTTAAGAAACGAAGCAAAGGGTACGGCGATGTACTTCAGCACATCAAAGACATCCAAACGGACAGGGACGAAGTTTTGGACACCCCGTCATTATGGCTCAATTCACCTAGGTTGATGTATATCATCGCCACTACTTACAAGAGGCTCTTTTGCATTTATGGTAAATGTGTCGATGACAGTTTTTCAGCCCTGCCCCTGGATGGTTCCGTGAATGATCACAATCCCATCTTTCTTTGTTACGATCACAAGGGTGTACATTTTTTGTCACTTTCTATCTCTTCCCCTATTTCAATCATCCCCATACCAAAACCATGGCAAGAATGGTACAAGCTTGCGTCCCCAGAGGCCATCACTTGGGCTGATAGATACCAAATTCAGTTTGGTATCTTTGATCAATCCATCAAGCCGATCATAGTTACAGAAAATCCAATGTTGTATTCCTCCCGCAATCAGCCTGTAGAGTTACATTCTTCCTCCGATTTGTAAATCTCAATGTAGTGTCAATAGTATTTACTGTTTCATCATTCCACTTGACACATAACTTGACATGTAAGTATGTCTATTGATTGATCTATTGATTGAGTGCGTACATATATGTTATCGATTAGTTGTGGTGAGTATCAATATGTCACACCGGCCACCTCAACTGTCAAGAAGCCTTTTACAGGGCGTGAAAGGCGTAGCTTCATGTTCAGAGGTATGTGTATACAACCCCAATTGAAATTCAAACCACTACACTTCACTTCACTTTTAAACCAAGATGGCTCGATTCAAAGGACGCCACAAAACCTTTCATCCTCAAAGACCTTATTGGCTCAAGCCCCCCAAGACCGCTTTACAGAAGGCCCATTTCAACCGCATGCTCGCCGCCGTCCTTGCACAATCAAACCGACTTGCAGCTCAAATTCGCCACGATCAGAATCACGGTGGTCTCGACGGTGACGATGAACCGCTCTTACCAGAAGAAATCTGCGACCACCTTCCTCATCCGGATTTCATCGAGGAGATATATCGCGAAAGAATTGAAGAAGAGCGACGTCAACGTGTTCTCCTTCTGGAAAGGTCATCACCTGAAATGTTTGATGCGTACATCGAATGTCATCTCAAGACTTCTGAATGGGGGAATCCAGTGCTTTGGGACTTCAATCACAAGCCTGCGTGTAACTGCCCACCTAGTCAATGGCGGGTAAGACAAGTGGATCTCATTGACATTTTATGTAAGTATCACTCATGTCTTAATTGAAGTGATGTCTTCTATTATATCACTGATACCTACATTACACCTCCAAACGCTGGTAAGTCCGACGCAAGGCTAGCATTCGATTCTGTTCATGTCACAAAAGTGATCTAACCAGGCTGATCCTCATGGGATACATTGGCGGCTCACCAAAGTATCCTGTGACAGCTTTTTCCATAAGACTCCTCCGATTCTACCATGTCATATGGAAATATTGTACAACACGGGTGGCCCCATTCGCGCGAGGCCTGGACGAGTTTCTGGATGCGTTCAATCCACTCATGCTCACCAAGAGCGATCAGGTATGACATTTTTTTTCACTATCAACCATTAACACACAACAAAATTAACACCTTGTTTTACTCCTATTGTTTTTTAGCCTTGTCAATGGCACACACCTTTGTACTGGGCGATCGACACGTATCGAATGATGCTTACAATGACGGAATCCGTCCTGGATACTCAACTACAACTTACCACCCTGGACAAGCTAGCTGAAAACTGCCCTCGGTGCTTTGGGCCTCCGGTTATGAGCGGTCTCATCTTATCTGAGCCGGACATCATTGTTTGCCTCGATGGGAATTTCCAACATCGAAGGCATATAAGTGCTGGAACCAAAGCGGCCAAGACTCTGACGAAAATGCCAAAGCTGTTTATTCCGGATCAGCAAGTCACTGAAATGGAACAACGACTTTCCGGTATGTCGGACAACGACTTTGTAAGTACTGATTCATATTTTCAAATGAGAAAAAAAATGACAAATTTCTGGTTAATATGTTTCTATCCTATGCAGCAAGCGTGTGCCAACCAGCACACTGCAGCCAATGATACTCGCGGCAAGGGCCACTGGGCCGGATGCGATGAAACCGGTCTCATGGCAATGACTTGCCGTCATGACCACCCGCTTCGATATACAAATATAGTTCAAAGCGGGGAAAAGTGGGGTGAAGTGTCTTATAACCAGTGAGACAGACAGAGAGTCTGACTATATCATTGGTTTGTTCGATTGCCACTAGGCTCCATTATTCCTATACGCTGATCAATTGGATCTTGACTGTAACTGTGGATCTTGGTATTGATCCACAGCGGTTAGGCTTTTTGTATGACATAGGTTGTACAATTGAGAATGGGATTGTAAAGGTATGTTAGCACAAGCTAATTATTCAATCAGTTATGGAATCAATACCTGATATCTTCAACCAGCGCGAAATGTTTGTAGAAGAACGGCGGCTTGGAAGACTGAAGTTTGGTACTAGTGTCTTCCACGCATATGTTCATCGATGGGCTTGCCAGCTGCTGTGGAATCCGAGGCTCAACGTGGGTTGGGGACTTTCTGACGGGGAAGGGTGTGAGAGAAATTGGATGGATCTTGTGCCACTGGTGGCACCTTTACGATATTCAACGCCACAACATCGAGTTAACGCGATCAGCATGAAGGCCGACCACTGCAACTTCCATCGCCGTCACCATGCAGGTGCGTGATGAATTTGGTTGTAATTCTTCCATCAAGATACTGACAGATATCTACCAGCCCGAAATCTTGTCCGCAGAAAGAAGGAGGTACATGCAAGGCTTCATGATGCGGAGCAGACACTCACCACCCTTGAGACTCCAGATGAAGAGTACCCTGGCCACGATTCTCATTTCTTTGAGAACTTGTGGAATACTCGAAAGGCCCATGACCTGGACGCAATGAACAAGCAGAAGAGTCGTAAAAAGGAAATGATTGCAGTTTTACTGGGCTTAGAGGAGGAGCTCATAGGTGCTTGGTGATATCGTTTCATGCCTTTATTGTCGTATACAGCTGTTTACTCTGCTGGACTCTATCTCCCTCAATATCAGCGAACGACTTCGGACAATCCAAGCAACCCGACGAAGGGCCCGAACGGACGCTGACAACAATGAACTCATGGCTCTACCAGGGACGGTTGTAGATGTAGAAGAGCAGATTGAGGGTGTTGCAACCGCGTTAGGAGGTGTTGCGTTTAGAGCTTTGGCGGGTGCGACTGGTGAGTTCTTTCCAATATAACTTATGAAGCCCAGCTAACATATCGTTCTTTGTGTCTCATAAAAGACAACAAAACTAATGCATTGATAGCCATATCAATTGCACGAAGTAACCTTTATGAGGCCAGAGTTGGCCTCACTGAATCCAGGCTACGCCGCCATCAGAATACTGGTAAGTGTTTAATATGTACACTTGTGTCATCTCATACTGACTTGACACTTCTCAATGAAATTGATAGGGCAGCGAGCTGCGCAATACAATGCGCGTCAAGACAGCAAGAAGACTGCCAACCTACGCGTGAAGTACCAAACCTATGAGCGCAAAGTTCAAAAGTACCATACCGATTTTCCAAGGGCGGTACGTGTTCAACTCCCTGACCTTGTCACGGTCATGCGAATGTCATTAGAGGATAATTTCTGGAATCGGGGTGAGGTGGATGAAGAAGAGCACGGTGATCATGCTGATAAGTTTAGAGCTGGTATAGACGCAACCCTACTGCAAAGGAGGGCGGTCGAGGAGCTGAGACGCATTGCCAGGGAAGTCCGTCAGATGATGGGTTGGGCATTTGAATATTATGAACAAATCATTTCATTTAAAACGCAATTAGAACAAGGTGGGTGAGCGCACTTCTATGTTGACATTCCAATGTAAAACTGATACCACCTGCCTGCAATTTCAGAAGGCGATCTAGCCTGTCAGACTAGGAAGAGGTCTCTACACAGCATCATAACGAGGAGATGCTGCAAGCTGTGGAAGAATTGAAGCCGAGACCTGAAGCATGAGCTTCAGGAGACTCGTGCATATCTGGATGATTGTGCTGAGCTAGATGAGGCTTTGGAGGTGTCTTGGGGTAGGGTGTGCGTCTGGGCTGGGCAAGAGTGGATGAATCTTGGAGGTGCTCTTGTAATTCGAGCTGAGGAGCCCGACGAGTATGAGGAACAAGAAGATCACATGTATGACCATCTATATGACATGAATGGTGAGGTTCTATATGACATGAACCGTGACCTGTTAGGCTATGAGTAGAGAAGTGTGTAGTATACATTTACTTCATTCCTATAAACATCTATATCCTTGTATAAATATTATGAAATATTGTCTCATGATAAATACATTCCTGAGATGCCATTCCTTGAACAAAGCAATGAAGACTATGTGCATGATCCCATATATATCATGAAAGGTTACATGTTTGTATTATAAGAAAATTGGATCACCTCTGGCAACTATTTGAAATGGATCATTTCTTACCAGGTTGTTTCATTTTTAACTGGATTTCTAGTTGAGGTTAGTGCACGCAAAGCTATTAATAAACTTTGCAAGACTCACATCAACATCAAAAAAAAACATGTTGATAAACTGTGGCATTATGTTTGGGTTGGTTGATTAGGGGGGTGGTTGGCATGTGGGTTGATTTGACTCACACCATTTGGTGAAATCTTTGTATCATAGGATGGCATCACATCCATTCATTATCAAATTGATCACAAATGTCTTGAACTGGTCACAAGAAACTGCATTACATGTAGATTTATCATATGGTTATATTATATCATTTGACTTTGATTTGTTCTTACATTTGGTGATCAATGGAATAACCGCCAGATAAAAGATCACACGCAGAATATAGTCCTAAAACTGATGAAGTTAAATACCCTGAACTGATAAATCTAATAGGAATTGGTGCAAGGTTTTGATTTAATTCTTTGATTGAATAAAACAATTGAGTAATTAATGGATCAGTTATATTTATATAAATCAATAGCCCTTCATTGAAGTCTTTGGTGGAATCTATGAAACTAGGTTGGGGCAAATTGTAAGGTGGATCATATAAAGTCTCAATCCAATCATGCATTGATTCTAGTGAAGTGTTTGGTAAAGGTGATAATTTGACCATGAGTGTCTGTTGGTGATTGATGATGCATTGTAAGGACTTTATTGAGTTATCACTGTCAAGATAGATCAAGATAGAGGTGGAGTTCGTTTTTGCATTGAGGAATGGAATGAGGAATGAACCAAGTCTTACTGATTATGGTGTGCTGGAGCTGGTGCTGATCCTGGGTTGTCAGTAGCACTCTTTCTTGAGCTATCACTGTCCAGATAGAATCCAGATAGAAGTGAAGTTGGTTTTGGGTTTGAAGATTGGATCCAGAAATGACAGAAGACTCACTGCTGATTACCTGCTGGGGCTGGTGATCAGTGGGTAGCACTGGTTCTATTCATTCTTGAAACTCAAAAATTTGGTGAAAGATGATGGATATTGATGTGATTGGAATTGGACTTCAGGTTGATGAAGACTACAAACAATATCAAATAGTTGCTCAAGCAAGTTAAACAAAAGTTCATCACGCTGGAAGCCAGTGTAATTAAGGAGTTTATAAGGGATCAACACAGGGTTAAACCAATGTTGATCACGCTGAACATGAACAAAGTATATGAACAAAGTTTCAATATGCCCTTATAATCTCCTCTTGGCCAAGGGAGAATATATGTGAGCCATTAGGATTAACACAGTGGTTAACTCCTCATCCCTTATCATCTCCTTGCACCATTACCAGAGTATAAAGGATAACTTAAGTTGATCACGCTGAACAAAAACATAGCACCCTGAACACAAACAAAGTATCAAGGTCACCCTGAACAAAAACTGGGCAAGCCACAAAGAAAGTATCAATATTTCTATTCCCTTATAATCTCCTAATGGCAAAAGCAGATTATAAGGAGATTATAAGGTATTCAGATTGACACACTGGTTAACTCCTAAATCGGATATAATGCCCTTTCCAATTAGGATATTCTAAGGTATTAACACTTGACACACAGTGTTAAACCTATGTTGATCACACCGTGATATCTGATATCAACATAGTTGCCATATCAATTCTATTCGATTATAATCTCCTTATTAAAATACGAGATTAGATTAGGATGAACTGGGTGGTAAGTACAAACTCCTATTAACTTATAATCTCCTTATCTTATAAGGTAACTTGGAAATACCAAGTTACGCACTTTATGAGATTCAACACCTTAAGCACTTTATGAGAATCATTCATCAAGCAATACCTTATAATCTCATTATAAGGCAAGGAAAAGAATTAACATGTTATGCACCTAATGAGAATCTTCATCATACTTCATACTTAACATTCAATGTTAAGCCATGATGACCAGTCTGTTTGATATGTGAGTTTGGACTCTCAAAAGTAAGTATATTTTGCATTGGACCTGAGTGGACCAAAACAAAGAAATGAACCAAGTGACAACAATCACAAAGAAAACAAAGAGTGAACCAAGAGCCCCTGAATGTTAGAACACCAACAACTTATAGGCCCAATTATATACATAAACACCTTATAGGCCCAATTATATACATAAAGAATACTATTAGAAAATTGAATGTAACCATTTCACTGGATATGAATCAAATCTTCCACTGCACACCTAATGAGAATCTTCATCATACTTCATACTTAACATTCAATGTTAAGCCATGATGACCAGTCTGTTTGATATGTGAGTTTGGACTCTCAAAAGTAAGTATATTTTGCATTGGACCTGAGTGGACGAAAACAAAGAAATGAACCAATTGACAACAATCACAAAGAAAACAAAGAGTGAACCAAGAGCCCCTGAATGTTAGAACACCAACAACTTACAGGCCCAATTATATACATCAACACCTTATAGGCCCAATTATATACATAAATAATACTTTTAGAAATTTGAATGTAACCATTTCACGGGATATAAATCAAATCTTCCACTGGACCACCTCAAGTATGGTGTTTGCGGATTCCTTTCATCAGGGGTAGTATCTGACCTAACCCCCACAACTTGTTTATGATCATTTGGGTGGCAAGGTTTACTATTTAATTTCTTGTTGGGCGCGGGATGTTATTTTATATTTATACTCAAAAGTCACCTTCTGGAATAGCTTAACCATTGTTTGTGGGCACACCTGACAACAAAAAGTTCATAAGACAACAAGAAGAAAACATGAATGTATTATTTCGAAAATGATGACTTGATACCACAACCAACATTAGAAAATGTGTTCTTTTACTTGTAAACTATATATCGAGGGCTGATAGGTAAGTTTGAGCAGCCTGGTGAGCAGCAGAAGCAGCTCGCGCCTTGTGCCTCCACTTTTTTTCCTCTTTTCTCAAGACCTTTCTGAAAGTTGGAACTGAGAATCCAGGTGGCGGAAACGGTAACCTCATGGAACCATCACTATATCTGGCTCTCCCAATGCAATCACTTCTAGCACCTGACACTCTTGCTGTACTGGCATACACGTCAGCGTGAGAGTACAAAGCCACAGATACTCGAAGAGGTCTGTTGCGACTCCCTGGAATTGGAAGTATTGTAGCCACCGAGTGATCCAGAAATTTGAAGCGGGCATGTAAGGAATAGCCAGGATCAGCACAAAAGCTTACACCTAGGGATCCAAAGTTCCAGCGGCCGCCGGAATAGTCGCGACCATAAGCAAACACTGAATCAATCAGATTGGAGTTTTTGCCATCCCGATGTGGGGCTACCTGTATATTATAATTAACATGCTGTCCTGAAACATAAACATATTCAAACTGTTAACATAGGAAAGATATATATCAGGTTTGGATGAGGATGACTTGCCATGGATGATGTGGTTGTCCGTTCTTTCCAGGTGTTCCACAAACAGCGGATCGGAGTTTTTTTTGAGATAGCTGATAACATTTTCAGCCACTTCGTAAGTCTCAGGCTGGACTGCTGCGTTGACAACTCGTGACACCTCGTAAGCCCAATGCAATTGTTGGATTCTTCTGGCATTATCGACCCTCTTGAAAAGGCAATCCTCACCCAGCCCCATGACTTTGGGGAGATGTCGGTCAGAATTGGGCCAGTCCCCACAATCTTCAAGCCTGTAGCCCTGGCGGTCGAAGCCCAATTCCATCTTGGTATCAGCAAGGGCATCAGGCTGGCTTCATATAATCAGTTTGAAGTTTGCGACTTTGGCTGTGAGCTTAATCATAATGTACTTACAGAACCAAGGCCAAAACCGTAGGTCTCATAAGCGAGGTGTCCATTCAGGGCCCCGGGGACAGGAACTGGATAGTTTCCAAGGTTTGAGTGTCGTGCGGTCGCTGAAATGGAAGGGCTGAAAGCACTATCAGAAGATGAGATTTTGGCTTCTAGGATGTTTTTGTTAATAGGTCCAATGAAACCAGGTAAAGCGTGTAGATGTGCAGAGCCTTCTAAAGCTTTGAGACCGCTTACCTGTCATGTAAAGCGATAATCGGTTATATTGTTAGAAAGGATTACATGGTGAACAACTCACGGCAGCTACTGAAGCTTTCGCATTGGGAGGAAGGCCCATTGCCAGGAACCGTCCAGCCAGATCCACCAAAACAATCGCCTTATTCGAATTCAAAGGGCGGGGTGACTTAGATCTCTCAGCAATTAGGACTTGTAAGGCTTTGAAATTGGGGTAGCGGAGACCGAAAGGCCGTTCAGATCCAGGTTGTGATTCGTGGGCTATGATGGTTGACTTGATGTATAAAGCGCAGGTTTCAATGTCATGCTGGCGAGAGTTGATGGGAAACAGGATATCCAGATCGTTCAGGACGATGTCAATAGATTGAGGTATATTGGGTAGGGAGAGGTGATTCGTTTCGAAAAGAAAGAAAGTCACAGCCAAGTCGAAGTCAATAACTTCAGGCGTGATATCCCCTAGGGAATCATCTACTAGGGATTGCCGAACGAATTGGTCGACCATCGAGTTGTAGTTGAATCGATTTTGGTAATGATAACCAGGTTTTTCTGGCTTGAATCTGTCGGGTAATAGTGCAGTGCGTTTACTATTACCCTTGCCTGCTGGGTAAGGTTCGATCGGAGGTTTTCCGGGCTGCTTTCTGTGGGGCGGCATGCTGGGTAAGAAGAACATCGATTAGCATCATGACACAAACACGATCAATAAAAGGAGACAGAGTTGAACGATGAAGGAAGAAAGGAGGTGGAATGTTGTTTAATGGACTTGAATATTATCAATCCCCATGTTGCAACCGTGGAAGAGTGGATTTTGCAGCCTGAATATTATCAGTCCTGCACCACTGGGAATGAGGAAGTCGGGGGGTGATTGAGATGTGATGTGGGAAGATGGAAAAGGCTTACCTTTGAAGTGTAGATAGGTTTTTAGTGCAAACACGATGGAAAAGATGTAAGTGACGAAGTATGTGTGGGAATCGGGGGTGAAAATCGAAAGCAAAGGACTTACCTGATGTATAATGGCTGTGTGGTTGGAGAGCAGGGGCGGGGATCGAAGGAAAGGGGAAAAGGGAACTGTTGACCTTACGAAGACGGTACAGATTTTTCACTTGGATTTCAGTATTGGTGCGTCTTGGTGACACGTGACCCAATTGTATGTGAAACCGTTGCGAAGTGTAGGTCCAGGCGACACCTAGACCTGAATTGAGGTTCATGTAATTTTGGTTTGTTGGGAACCCCTGACTGAGGTGGCCACATATGGGTGATGTGTCCCACTCTGCTAGAAGCTGCTTGCGCTGACAGGCAAGGCGGCCAGGCAATCAAGATCCCCTGTTCGAGTTGCGGACACGGCCCTTTTTTAGCTACCCAATCAGTAGCAAGGCGCCTATCTTGTTAAGTTATTGGGGATTACTTCCTGGGTATTGCTATGATGTGGGCGTCTCACTTATTCACTTATTATTCCAGGGGTCCCTCATGAGTGAAAAGTTTGTAAATTTCAAATTGGATGAAATGAAGGACAGATGATGTCTATAAATTATGAATTGAAATCTATAATTTTATGACTTTTGATCAATTTTAAGCACAGCATGTTTGTGATATTTAAACACAACACTACATCATACTACAACATGGGTGGGTGGTATTCAGCAGGAGTGACTGGGTTCACAGGAGTAACAAGTTTTACCGTGTAGCGTCGCGCCAAGATATTGTCGTACCAGGTCTGCATCAGATCTTTATCATTCATGATTTCTGCAGGCCCACGTGATAGCATCTCGGCAGTGACCTTAGAGTCACTTGTTTGATGCACCTCGAGTTTGATACCACTTCGCAATACATGGTCGCAGTTGCTCCTCTTTGGATGGTTATGGACTCGAGGTTTGATGAATTTGCTATTGACGTTTTCAAGGTGGTTTACTTATATCATACCCAAAGAGAGTCAGAGTCAGGGATCTAAAACCGGAAGGTTTGATAGGGTTCAGGTTCAGACACGAAAGGAAAACACTTACAAACAAGACCATTCAATTCAAATGTAAAGTCCTTGCGTAACTGGTCATTTGTACTGACGCCAGAACCGGTAGGTTTTGCCTTATGGTTTGAGGAGTTATTGTGTCCGGTAGCATAGTGATCAAATCGCTCCAGGAGATGATTACGAGAAGAAAATGTAGCGAGGTACACGAGATCAGAGCTATACTCCTTACTCCAGCCTGCTGAAGGGTTGGTGGTCGTAGGGTTCCATGACGCTGCCATGAGGTGGTATTGGATTCCGTATGCCTTGTGGGTCACCTCAAGCTATGGTTCAACATGACTTCAGTTGTGGTGGTTGTTCGAAAATGGCAATCACACACTTACAGAAGAGTGTATTTGTTCAATCTGCGCAATGCCTTTTTCTTGGTACTTCGCACTTTGAGTTATGTCGCGACTCAAAGCCATATGATCTTTTACCTTCTGGATGTTGATGAGGCGTTCAAAAGCCGGCTTAAATTCTGCTTCTTCCACAGTTAGTAATTGGTGAGGTTGAAGATTGGCAGGATCGTTCGATACCACAAGAGCAATGCGGTCGAATAAGACCTTGTCAAATATGGCAACATCGGTAGTTAGCTTGACTTTTTGCCAAGCATCGCAAACGATTTCGTTGTAAGTTGCCAGGCGATCTGATTCCTCTGGACTGACGTCTTCACCATTTGGTGGAACCACTTGAGGCACTGTTTTTGAAGGGATTGATGCTTATTTGTTAGCAAGGTCTGTCGCGGCATGAAACAAGACAGTACGTACTTTTGTTGTCAACTGTGGCCACCAAACTGAATTTGCGGAAGAGATGGTAGGGTGAGATATCCATTTCGCGTCCTCCCCGATGACTGCCAAGAAAAAAAAAAAACACCGTCAGACCAAACTTTTGCTTTGGAGATGAAGATGAATAACTCAACACCCCGTATCTGAGGGTGTCATATGTAATCCCCCCAGCCAGACTCAATACTTTCAGGCGAGTTATGAGTTGTTCTTCAAGAGCCCTGGCTTCGGTGAGGATGTTAAATCCAATTCGGTTGTGACCAGAGGCTTTTGCACAGCGTAGATAGTGTTCCAGTTCCATGTCAGTCCATTCGGCAGCAAGTTCCTTATAGTTGAAAAGGGTGGGTTTGGTAATGGGCTTTTTCGGGAGCGGCATGCCATTCAAATCGACAGGTGGTGCAGCAGAAGCGTCCGGTACGGGCAATTCTTCTTCTTGATGAGGATTCTTACTCTTTTTGCTAGCCACCTTGCGGCGTCGACGCCGCTTTTTTGGTAAAGAACCACCTTGACCATCTTCTGAGTCCGGCTCTGGTTCAGATTTGTCTGAATCTGAATCTGATTTTGCTAGTAATGCAACATAGGATTTGTAAGTTTGTAGTGACCTACACAAGGAATGATAAATTTGTGACTTACTTTGGTATGATGATGAAGAGTCATCAGAGTCATCGCTATTGGTCCCATTCAAATCTGAAAAAGAAGACCAATCAGAAAATCATCAGAATGCATTATTAACGCTGAACTAAATAGAATAACACACCTTTTTCATCCTGGACATCATTCTTTTTATTCTTTTCCAGAGATCTACCACGGGTTTTAGGTGCCATCTGATCTGGGGGGACGATTTGAAAGATCAAAGACGGCGGGGAGGACTGTAATAGATCAAAGAAGGCGGCTGGAATAGAAGTGAATAAAAGGGTAAGGTGAATAAAAGGGTAAGGCGGATTTTTTCTGGAGGTCAGTGGAGGTAAACAGTCAAGACTCTTTGGGGCGGTGTGTTTTATTTGAAGGAATTTCATTATAGTATATTAGGTTTGTCTAGATGATGAATTGACTTTTTTTGAATTATTTTGGATTGGATTTTTTTCGATCTAGTCATAGTAAGGCTATTTGAATTTGAATCAATTGTGTGTGTATGGATATTTGTGGGATCTTGGGGTGGAGGAGTTGGATTGTGGAGTTCGATTGGTAATAGATGGTGTGAGGAAGATGTCAGATTCATATGAATTTGGTCCGATTTGATACAACTGGTTGAGTGGATGTGAAACGTTTTGGTGACAGTACGCTAGTTGAGGAGGTGGTTTTGGTGAGGGTGTATTATTCGATCATCTTGATGTGTGTAGAGGGAAAGATTCGATAGGATAGGGTGGGATGAAAAGGATGTTGAGGGCAATCGAAAGAGATTGATTGTTCTAATTTGGAATCAGTACCATACATTTTGTTGAGATCTGAGAGATGTGGTGAAGGGTGATGTGTTGGCTTGGCATCTTGGTATAAGGTGCGTGAACTTATGTACATTGGTTGAGCTGTTGAGGGGGTGGAATGTCCACTAAATGAGTGGATCAAGGGGGTATGATATGGCTAAGATGTGTATATGAGTTATAAAGTGGAGCTAGCTGGTTGATGGGGTGACGTTCTGGGGTGGTGTGGTATGTAGCTTCTTAAGATGGGGATGGTCTGGGTGTGGTATTTGAGGAGACTGGTTGGTCGGTCTTATGGGGGTGGGCTGGTGTCTGGACGGGGTGTATGGATTTCATGGCATGGTATGGTGGGTGTGGTATCGGGCAAGACACACGGTTCTGTGTTGAAGTGGTGGGGTGCTGTTGCTGCTGTTGGGGTGGATCGATTTGGAAGGGTGGTATGGTAGTGGTGTGATATCCCAGAAATACAGAGGGCTCTGTCATGAGGTGGTGGGATGGCCTGTTGAGGGGTGGATAGGTTTCCCTGGGTTAAATGAAGGGTGGTATGGGAGGGGTGTTTATGTCTCAAGGTGGTGGGTGCATGTGCTGAGGGGGTGGCTTGACTTCGAAGGGGGGTATGGCGTGGTTAAGGGTGGTATGGTGTGGTTGTAGTATCACACTACACGGGTTGGTCTCCCTTAAGAGAAAGTGGAACTTAGCCATTTCTCTGGTTACCCAAGATCCTTCTCAGGAGGATGATTCATCTTGGCAGAGGCCGTCGAACCTCATTTGGTGATAGGATGCACTGTATGGCCGAATGGGGTTCGGTATGGACGTGCACGTGCAGGTGCCAATCAGTGTGAAAGACCTCTTTGAGATGGTATCGGAATTAAACAAGAAATCACCCCAACACGAATTAGCAATGGTGATAGGACTGGTGGCCTTTTGGGGAATGGCAAGATTAGGAGAACTGCTACGAGAGAAGACGGAAGATGGGGCAATAAAAGTCGAGGATTTGAGTTTCGAAAGAGGAAAGAGAGGTAGGATAGCAGTGATAAAGCTGATGAAGGCAAAGACGGCGAGACCGGGAGAAGCTCAGTACATAAGGTGAGTGAGACGGGTCTGACGAAGCAGGAAAGTAAGATACTGATGACGATGAGATCGGGGAAGTAGGATGCACGAACAATACTCGGTCCTGGACCCAGTATCGGCGCTGGTAAGGTTCTTAGCACAGGAACACCCGACGAGAAGAAAAACGGATATACTTTTCTCCACAGCAGGGAACGGAGAACGAGAGACTATATCAAAAGCGAAGTTCATAAAGCTGATGGAGTCGGTATGGGGGTCGAGCGGAGTGAAAAAGGGAGGATGGTCTGGGCATTCCTTTAGAGTAGGCGGAGCATCCCTAAGATTTAATATGGGGTGGGATAAAGAGAGAATTATGGAGGCAGGAAGGTGGAAATCTGAAGCGGTAGACTGTTACTTGAAAAGATGCTCGGATGAAGAGAAAGAAGAGACAAAACAATTCTTATGGGTGATTGACAAAAGGAATTGAAGAGGAAGGGCAAGCCACGGGGAGATAATACGCGGAAGCAATAGAAATGCAACAAACTTTGATCTCGCGTAAATTAATTTACAGAAGTAATCACGTAGCTGAAGATAGCCAAGTAACAATACAATTGACTGAGCAAGATCTTTAAGTTTAAATATACAAATGAGTAAGCGATGAGTCTTGAGTCTTGAGTTAAAACTGAGCAAAGCATGCCCCAAGAACCCACTGAGCTAGTGGTGAGCCCGCGCGAGTTGTGGGTCCCTCAACAAGTTGAGACTCTCACGAGCCTCCACTAGAAAGGAGGGATGAGGAACCCACAAAGGGATCGACAAAACCAAATAAGGATCTGCATAGCGTCTGCGGGGATTAAACCGAGACGCAAAAGAGAGCCGATCCCCCGCCCGGGCTCCCCCAAACACTGTTCGACCTCAGCCATGATAATAGGCCAAGGTCGAACTAAGATGACCAATAATGAAAAAGATCTAATAGTAGAATTAGGATCTACAAGTACATAATTTAATAAAAGAAATAAAATTTAAATTATGAACTTAAAAAGACCTTACCTAACACGTAAGGAACTCAAAGAATGGATTGGTAGTCTTAACTAAGGAACGGCTTAAGGCATAGTTCCATGATTGAGTTGGGACGTAAGAGGGTAAACCCATAAGTTGGGAAAACAGAGTTTTCATGAGTAGGACCAGTAAAGGCACGTATTGGTGCGCGTGTCCACTAGGTGACATGTAATATACATGTCACAAATATAGTTACGAAGTTGGTGTTGGGGGAATGAAACGAAATTTCCCCACTTCGTAAGAATTCTTCGACAGCTGTTCCTCAAAGTATTCAACTCAAGCGTTTATAGCTTGATTCAAATCTTTTAGTTGTGAATTTTTAGATAACAAACATTAAATATTAAATTTAATTTCAGAATCTTTTAACGATAAAAACAATGTCTTTCTTAGAACAGTTAGATCAGACAAATAATCAGTTAAATCAGGATCAAACACAACTCAACCAAGATTTAAATCAACAAAACACTCCGAGAGATAATACAAATCAACCTAATGTGGATCAGATTAATCAAAACGAAGATCGAATCTTGACTCGCGCCGAGGCAGCTGCAAAAGGAATTCAACCGAGTTCGAGACTTCTGACTCCGAAACGCGGTACAAATGGAAGAATTACCGGGAGGAAAAGCAACGGATCTCGTACGAAAAGCCTTTGAGGAATTGGAATACCAAAGCGAGGTCGAAGACCGGTAGGAATCAAGAAAGCAAAAGGAATTAGAAAAGAACATAAGAAGAAAAACGAGAATAAGCAGAATGAAGATAAAGAGGATCAGTTAGAAGATCATCAATCAGGAGATCAAGAAACAGAAGAATGGGGTGGAATTGGAGATGTTGGAATGGAAATAGTGGAGGAGGAAGGGATAAAGGAGGGTAATGATGGTGGTCAGTTTGGTAAGTAATAGACATTTATCTTATGAAAAAATTCTTACATCATCTTATCATATCCGACCAATTCCACATATTTCAAAAAAATATTCTATCAAAGTTTCTCCTTTTACATAAACCCAATTTCATTCGCTAGATTCTTTAATTCTATCTTTTTCGCTTCAAATTATAAAATTCTTCTGCTACGGGAAAGTCCAAAGTGAATTCAACGTCGCAGTCCACATTGACATTAGGAAAACGTAATGCATACCTATATATTGGTGAAGAAATGCTTACGGAAGTAAAAAAGAAGTTACCCTTGATTTGCTTCCTTCTGAATACTAGTGTCGAAATCGAGTTATGGTCAGAGGACGTCGTGAAATCAAGAAAGCCTGGCCCGGCTAAGAATAGGAGCCCAGCCTGGCCCGGCTAACAATAGGTGTCCAAAGCCTGGCCCGGCTAACAATAGGTGTCCCAGCAAGGGTCCGGCTTAAAACAGGACCCCAGCCTGGTCTGGCTTACAATAAGAACCCAGCTAGCCCAGCTCACAATAGGAGCATAACCACGATTGGTTTAGCCGAGTATAGGCACGGGATTGGGCCCCAAAATTCGTAAACCCAGTAAAAGGCTGGTCGTTGTACCCAGGATCATCCAGCCAGCCCAGCTTATAATAGGAGCATGACCACGATTGGTTCTAGCCAAAATATACAGGCAAGGGTTTAGATCCCAAGTTCAAAATTCATAAAAGAGATTCGGTGGTTGTCCAAAGGAGAATTTAAATGGAAACCTGAGAGACAAAAGGAGTTTTAGCAAGGATAAGAAACTAATGATAGATTATGAATCTTATTTCGTTGGTGGATGCGACAGACTCACGAAGACAAGTTTTGGGTAATCTAATCCAAGAGGCCTATGATCGAGGAGATGATGCAGAAGCTACGTCATTGTTGAAAATCTTAAATAAGGATGACAATGGTAGGAAAGGGAGGAACGAGACAGAGTACGTAATGGACGAAGATGATTCAATTTCAGAAAAATCAAACTCAGTAGCTTTCATCCGTGAAGTAAGACCGGCAAAAATTCAAGTCGACAAATCAATCGGTGGAGTTGAAGTGCAAGTAGTACCCAACAATACGACAAATGTACCAGTTCACGTCCCCCAACCGGAAACACTACCGATCCAAGATAAATCAAAGTGGTTTCAAGGAGCATCATCGAAAGAAGAATCTGATAAAGCATTCGCGGTACTAGCCTCAAAGAAAGAGACTTTAGAATTAACAAACGGCGATGTCATTCATAATGGAAGGATCTTACGAAGCGGAAACGCTCAAATGAAACAATCCTTAGCCCCTTTATCACCTGGCTTGACAATTATTCTTAAAGGACTTACATCATACATTCAACTAACGGTCTTCGATGAAGAATGGTTAATAAAAGATCAAAAAGCGTGGTCTTCAAGAACTACAAAATCCGATAAGAAGGAATCAGGAGAAGCTAGAATATACGGGGGAGAAGCACCTGTAGAAGAACTCACTATTGACTATGAAGTTTGGGGAGATTGCATAGAATTATTCTGCACCCATTTAACAGAATGTGGATGGAAACCTGTAGCAGACAAATTTGAAAGTCATATTGCGGTGGTGAAGAAGCTCCGTAAAGACTTCGGATGGATGGTAGCCTTGAGGTATTGCCGATTGGTGAGGCAAGGTGTAATGCGCGAAACCGTGGATAAATCAGTCGGTAACTACGCGGAACTTCAAGAAGCATTATTAGTTGAAGCAAAGACCACGGCAGAAAGTTACAATGAAAGACATTATAAAACCAATCCATACGCACCGGGTCGACCAAAAGCTCATTTATGTCCTTTAACCAACAAACCGAAGACCATTACGACGACGAGAGAGTCATCTGGAACGGTTGAGAACCGACACGCCAATACCAGTAGCTATAAAGGTAATGGAAGGCGTGGAAAAGGCGGTGGTAATTATAAAGGAAGACATGATGATGGAAGGAGCTGGAGGAAAGATGACCGCTATGGAAATGATCAATACGCTAGTCACAGAGACAAAAGCAGAAGCCCCAACCGTAGAGATAAGGATGGTAAACCTGTCAAAGGAAAAAGAGCGTGAGTCATAAACGGGAGAGGACTATTCTTTGTGACCCCTTTTGAAATAATAAAGTCAAACAGACACGATTGCGGACTAGTAAAAGGAACTGACATTCAGTTATGTGTTTGCGTTGGTATTGAATTTGCCTTTTGCTTTTGCCAATTGCCTTTTCAATTATCAACAAGCAGATCGAGATGTGAGGATCCAACTTACCAAAATGATCCGCTGAGATCTGTGAGTCAAAAAGGCAGAGTCTGGCCAAAACGACCGTCATGTGAGATGAACCTTTCAGTCTGGAAGTCAGAGCTGAAAAAATACGGAATCGAGGTGAAGTACAAACACATATTAAGAGGTTTTGAACACGGATTTAGTCAAGGAATAATTAATGCGGAGGTTCAAGGAATGAGCTACTATTGCCCAGAAAATCACAAATCGGCACTAAATGCTAAAGAGAAAATTGAAGAGAACATCAGACAAGAGATCAAAAGAGGAAGAATGTTTGGGCCATGGACTAAAGAAGAGGCTTACAAACATTTCGGGTTTTTTAGGACAAACCCTCTAGGTGCGGTGATCAACGGGGACGGTTCCTTTAGACCGATCAATAACTTATCCTATCCAAAGAACGACCCTGATATCGAGTCAGTAAATTTTTGGGTAGACAAAGACGACTTTGAGACTTCTTGGGATGATTTCAAAGAAGTCGCTTACTTTATTACATGGTATAAGGGTAGATTAGTTTTAGGAGTATTTGATTGGGCCAAGGCTTACCGACAAATACCGGTAGCAATGGATCAATGGCGGTTCTTGATGGTCCTAGGTTTTAACAGAATGGTATACGTCGATACAAGAGTTCAATTCGGAGGTGTTGGCGGTTGCGGCACGTTCGGCGAAGCGGCGGAAGCTTGGAAAGAAGTTATGATGAGAAAATTCAATTTATTGAAAGGCTTCCGCTGGGTAGACAATACCCTCTTCTTGAAACCTGCGGACGGATCAAATAAAGCTACAATGAAGGAATTAGCGGCAGCAAGCAAAGAGATGGGAGTCGAGACTAACGAAAAGAAATGGAGGGAATTCGACATAGAACAGAAATATTTAGGATTTATTTGGAATGGTGACAATAAAACTGTCAGATTACCAGAAGAGAAGATTAATTTAAGAATGAAACAAATAGAAGAATACGTACAAGAAAGACAACAATCCTTTAAGAAAACGGAAGTGCTGGTGGGAAGATTAAATCATATAACGTTTGCATTTCCTCAAATGCGGGTGTATACATCAGCAACGCATAGAATGTTGAAAACGTGGGGTAACAAGTTCGCTCTTCGCCCAATTCCGGATGAAATCGGAGAAGATATGGATGTGTGGTTGAGGACATTAAAGAAAGCAGACCCCTTGAGAGTTATTCCGAAGCCTTAAATACGGAACGTGGGTTGGGTGGGTGATGCATCAACCTCATACGGAATAGGGATAATAGTTGGGAAGAAATGGTCTCAATTTAAATTAAAACCTACTTGGAAAGATCCAGAAAGAAATGGAGATAAACGCGGCATTGCTTGGGCGGAAACAGTGGCAATCAGATTGGGTTTACTAATGGTGGAAGACATAGAGATGGTGGAAGGTAGAAATTATTTGGTACTCACAGATAATACGGTTACCGAAAACACCGTTATCAATGGAAAGTCGAAAGATCCACTGGTAAACGCGGAATGGAAGAAAATCCAAGACAGGTTAATAAATAAACAATACGCGATCACAGCCAAGAGAGTAGTCTTGGCTGATAATGCGGCGGATGCATTATCCAGAGGGAAAACCTCTAAGAAAAAGAGAGAGGATAAGATGACAATTGTCTTACCTAAAGACTTAGAAACATATTTGACCCAGATGTAATCCTTGATGAAGAAAGATTGATGTAATGCATTCTGAAATGAGTTGCCAGATGAGATCCTTAGTTGCCTGAGGAAACACGAGATGCTCGGTGAGCATCCATAAACGAGTATAGGATAAGGGAGAGAAAACGAAACTGACAGAGAGAGAAAATAAGTTCCGACGAAGACAGGATTCGAAAGGAAAGATGGAAACCGACTAACCCAAAGAAGTCAAGCAACAAGGCGGGTTTCAACTGTGACCCAAATCAGATCAGTCCGAATGCCTCGTATCAGTGGTGCGAGACGAGTAAACGAACCTCGGAGACCATACGATACGCCAGGACACTTTGGCAGAGCTGCAAAGAAAGCAACGAAACCCGGAGCACATTTAGCGATCGGCAGCTGGGCTAGGACGACTCTTTCTGGCTACTCCTCCGGCTTATCAAAGTACATCGCATATGTAGAATCGACTGGTGGAGAATTTGATGAAAAGAAGCCAATCAGTAAACAAGAGATTTATAGCTTTATAACATGGGCTGGTAGGACAAAAGTCGACATACCAAATCCTCCTAAGAAACCGATTACAGCAAAAACAATCGATAAATACCTAGACGGTATCAATGCTTGGCACATCGTAAAGCACTTAAAGAAAATCGAATTAGACACGGATATCGTCAAGATGTTGTTACGGGCTACGAGAAGGGAGGAAGAAGGCGTTGTTTTAGAATCTAGTAAAAAGCCAGTCATCGTTCAAAAACTTTATCAGTTACTTAATAAATCGCATGGAAAATTGGAAGTGCAAACCTTGGTAGCAGACGTCGGATTGGTAGCTTTTTGGGAGATGATGAGACTAGGAGAGATCTTCAGAACGACTAAGAAGGAAGGAGCGTTACTAAATCACCACGTCGAGTTCGGCCGATCCCAGAAAGGCAAATGGGCTAAACTGCATCTACGTAAGGGAAAGACCGCTGGCCCGAATGAGATACAAGTCATACATTTTCAAGCTCAACCCTCGGTGTTAGATCCGGTAAAAGCCTTAAAACAAATAATGTTAGCAAACCCGAAGAAAGGAAGAGAAGACTTCCTATTCCAATCTACGGAAGGTGTTTTACCTAAGAAAACTTTTGTTCGAGAAGTGGAAAAAGTTTGGGGAAGATCTTTGTTGGAGAAATGGTTGGGTCATTCGTTTCGTGTAGGGGGTGCTTCATTGCGAGCAAATTTAGGAACTTCAGAGAAAATAATAAAGAAAGTGGGTCGTTGGAAATCTGAGTCCTTTAGAAGATACATAAAAGAATTTACGTACGAAGAGAAGGAAGCCACTAAGAAGTTTTTGGAAACTATAAGATTGCGAATCTGAAGCATGAGGATAAAGTGGTAATACAAACAGAGTTCGACGTGCATGCAAATGTGAGACAAGGTTCGAGTACGAAAACTGGCGCGAAATCCCACGCTTAATGAACGGTGGGATCAGCGAGATAGAGAGTATGGTTAGCCATGCAGTATATGGGGTGGTCTGCCCGGCCAAGGACGGCATGGCTACTCCATACCTTCTTGGAGTAGGGGAAGCAGACAACCCCAAATACAAAGAGGACCCAAGCTACGAGTTAAAAGCCAATGAGTTGGATTAAGCAAACCAACTCATTGGTTTCATCGAACCAAGTTTTTGGTTTAAAGAAACCAAAAGTTTGGTTTTAGAAAACCAAACTCAGGGCTCCCTCCGGGCGCTTTCCCATACAGCACTTACCTCACCACAAGGCAAGGTAAGAGCAAAGATGGTGATTGTTAAATCACATATCATGTAATAAAAAACATAGTCACCTAAAAGATAGGCTTTGAGAGTGGATGAGTAGGACCAGTAAAGGCACGTATTGGTGCGCGTGTCCACTAGCTACATATCACTAGGTGACATGTAATATACATGTCACGAATATAGTTACGAAGTTGGTGTTGGGGGAATGAAACGAAATTTCCCCACTTTGTAAGAATTCTTCGACAGCTGTTCCTCAAAGTATTCAACTCAAGCGTTTATAGCTTGATTCAAATCTTTTAGTTGTGAATTTTTAGATACCATCCCTCCCACCCTACATAAAAATTAGAGCTAACAATAACCATCTTTTCGATCAGGGCACGGAGGGGGCTACGAGCTAAAAGCCAATGAGTTGGATTAAGCAAACCAACTCATTGGTTTCATCGAACCAAGTTTTTGGTTTAAAGAAACCAAAAGTTTGGTTTTAGAAAACCAAACTCAGGGCTCCCTCCGGGCGCTTTCCCATACAGCACTTACCTCACCACCAGGCAAGGTAAGAGCAAAGATGGTGATTGTTAAATCACATATCATGTAATAAAAAACATAGTCACCTAAAAGATAGGCTTTGAGAGTGGAACCTAAGGGAGATCCAGGAAGACTACACTTCCAGATCTCCCACGAACCCTCACAAGTCCCAATCTCTCATTTTGAACATTCCATTCTTAAGGTTAAGGAATTTAATTTCCAACCCACCCACCCAGCTGGGCGAAGGATCTGCATAGCGTCTGCGGGGATTAAACCGAGACGCAAAAGAGAGCCGATCCCCCGCCCGGGCTCCCCCAAACACTGTTTGACCTCAGCCATGATAATAGGCCAAGGTCGAACTAAGATGACCAATAATGAAAAAGATCTAATAGTAGAATTAGGATCTACAAGTACATAATTTAATAAAAGAAATAAAATTTAAATTATGAACTTAAAAAGACCTTAACTAACACGTAAGGAACTCAAAGAATGGACCCACACACCGCTGTCAAAGCATGGATACACAAACCTACAATAATGGATATCACCATGTCAATATCCTTGTAGCACGTCAACATGCACACATGGAGAGTTTTGAAACAAATCTGAAAGTCTTTTGGTCAGATATAGACTGAGATTGTTGTTGAGAACCCCGTGTGAATAGTAATTTATTCATGGGATTTGTGCAACCATTTGTCTTCAGCTGGGGTCAACTGAGAAGGGGAAGATGCCCCTGTTGTGGCACCTCTTTGATGGGTCTTTACAGGTTCTAAGGAAAGACCTTTGTGTGTGTATGTTGATGTGCTGCAAGGATGTTTACATATGTAGTGTCTGCTGAAGTGGGTCCCACCAAACTTGTTGTTTGAAAAGCAAAAGACAGTATC